TTAATAGGATTCTATCAAGAAATTTGCAAGATAGATATAACAATCCCTATGCTATAGACAAAAAGAGTAATACTCAAAGAAGGAAAAAGACTTGCCCAAGGTCACACAACTAGCATGACAGAATCAAAGCTGGTAAGTTATACTGTGAGTCCACCATGTGTGCAGGCCACCACACTTAACTCTAACTGAGCCATAGCTAGCGTCAAAAAGCCCACTCGTTGATGCCTGAATATGGTATCAGATACCAGAAAATGGGACACAGAATACCCAGGGCCATCAGAAACAATCAGGGAGGCAAAGTGCTGAACATAACATCAAAGAAAAAGAAAAGGAAAGTCAGGTTTTCCTCCATCTCTAGTTCCAGTTTTGAGTCCTCTAGGTTTGCAGGCTACGGGGGTATTGCCCATACACATGACAACTAGCATTGCTTGACTAACAAGACCATTTGGCTAAAATGATTGAAATATTTCTTTCATGACTGTACAATGATAGAAAAAAACCTAGAGAAATATTCTCTCAGAAATAACTTTGAACAATTAACATCACACTGAAAGGGGAATGCTCAAGATGACGTCTTCACCTACACACTGCACTCCCCACTGGTGATAACTGTAACAGTGACTAATTACACCTTCCAGGGTATAGTAGAGACTACTCCTCCAGGGGCCTCTTGCCAGAGATGACATGTACCTGGGGTTTGCAGAGGCCATTTTCACATGCACATGGATTTCTCTGCCCCAGGACCTTTGGCTAATGATTGTTTCACTGCAAGGAGCTTGGGAGGAGCTGACATTAAGAATTACATGCTTGTGAAATGTTCTCTGTTATCTCCCTGCTGGAAGCCCCTGCTGCTGAATTATCACACCCTATCAACTCACTACAAAAGAGAATGAGCTAGGAGAAATGGTACTGCTATTTCCGGCTTCCCCTGAGTTCAAACAAGAAGGAAAGGGGGTAGGATTTGGCCCCTCACTCAATGAGCTGATTTTAAGTTGCAACACCTGCCTCCTTAATTGCTAGAGATTTACCTTTCCTCTGGGAAATGATTCCTTTCCTCACAGGTTTGTTCAATCCGGATTCTAAATCTTAGTCAAGATGAGAAGACCTGCCCTGACCTTATGCATCTCCTTAAATCTGAGGTCATCATGACAAGAGGCTTGTCATACTTACAGATTTCATGTCCAATTTGTCTATATATCTCCACACATACATTCACTCCATTAATTATAGTAGCCATAATTTCATACTCAATGAGTATTTTATGCAAGTTTCTGTTATGTAGCACATGCTCTATTTTTAACGTTCATAATTTACTGAAATATAGTTGTTGACTTCAACATATATACCTCTGCAGTATGGAATGAGGTACATTTACATAAAAAGCAAAGAAATACATAACACACCCACCAGTTAAATCAGCTTCCTTGAAAAAATTATCTCCTGGTTAATATTGGAGGCCAAAATATGTGTACATTTGCATACACACACACACACACACGAGTTATACATCTCACAATGACATTCCAGTCAATAACAAACTGCATATATGACAGTGGCCCCATAAGATATTAATGGAGCTGAAAAATACCTATCATCTAGTGACATCTTGATGATCCTGACCCTGTGTAGGCCTTGGATAATGTGTGTTTGTATCTAAGTTTTTAACAAAAAAAAAGTCTACAAAGTGAAAAAAAATTAATAGAAAAAAGCTTATGGAAGAACATAAAGAAAATATTTTTGTACAGCTGTGTGTTTTAAGTGATACTACAAGAGTCAAAAAGTTTTAAAGTTTATAAAGTAAAAAATGCTATGGTGGAGAACGATCTAAGATGGCTGATCACTAACATCTTTGGATTGTAGCTCCCAGTGAAAGCACAGAGAATGAGAGGATGCCACACTTTCAAATTTTGGTCGCTCACGGAGCAGAAGATTCCCAGTGGAGGAACGCACAGGTTGCCAGCGCGACTCTTGTGGCTGGTGCAGCGGTTTTGCCGGCACCTCAGCACGGCAGCTCTTGCTGCAGAGTAAACGGGACTGGTTCCCCTTCTGACCAAGGTTTGGAGCTCCAGGAAGGCAGAGTAGCCTATTACAGACTCAAGAAGGAAGCCAGACTGGAGATTCCCGGGGCAGAAAAGCACCATCGGTCTTAATGCTGCTATTTTGGCTGGCGCAGTGGGTTGCTCATATTTCGGCCCTGGGAATTAACAACTTGGACGTCCACTCAGAGACCTAATTTGAAAGTTGTTAATTACAAAGATGACAGGTGTATAAATTTACAATGATGGGAAGAAACCAGCGTAAAAAGGCTGAGAATACTCAAAATCAGAATGCCTCTCCCTCTACAGAGGATCACAGTTCCTCGTCAACAAGGGAACAAGGCTTGATGGAGAACGAGCACATCCCATGAACAGAATCAGGCTTCAGAAGATGGATAATAAGAAACTTCTGTAAGTTAAAAGAACATGTTGTAGCCCAATGTAAAGAAACTAAGAACTTTGAAAAAAGGTTTGACGAAATCCTAATGAGAATAGACAACTTAGAGAGGAATATAAGTGAATTAATGGAAATGAAGAATACAATACAGGAACTCCGAGAAGTATGCACAGGTTTAAACACTTGAATTGTTCAAGCAGAAGAAAGGATATCAGAGGTCGAAGTCCAACTTAATGAAATAAAACGAGAAGACAAGATTAGAGAAAAAAGGATAAAAAGGAATGAGAAAAGTATCCAAGAAATGTGGGACTATGTGAAAAGACCAAATTTACATTTGATAGGTGTACCTGAATGTGACGGAGAGAATGAATCCAAGCTGGAAAATATTCTTCAGGATATTATTCAGGAAAATTTTCCTGAACTAGCAAAGCAGGACAATATTCAACCCCAGGTAATACAGAGAACACCACAAAGATATTCCTCAAGAAGAGCAACCCCAAGGCACATAATCGTTAGATTCACCAGGGTTGAAACAAAGGAGAAAATACTAAGGGCAGCCAGAGAGAAAGGTCAGGTTACCCACAAAGGGAAGCCTATCAGACTTACAGCAGATCTCTCAGCAGAAACTCTACAAGCCAGAAGAGAGTGGGAGCCGATATTCAACATCCTTAAAGAACAGAACTTTCAGCCCAGAATTTCATATCCAGCCAAACTAAGCTTCACAACTGAAGGAAAAATAAAACCTTTTATGATCAAGCAAGTACTCAGAGATTTTATTACCACCAGGCCTGCTTTACAAGAGCTTCTGAAAGAAGCATTATACATAGAAAGAAACAACCAGTATTAGCCTTTCTAAAAATATACCAAAAAGTAAAGAGCATCAACATAAAGAAGAATTTACATCAACGAATGGATAAAACAGCCAGTTAACATCAAATGGCAGTAATCCTAAATTTAAATCGACTAAATCCCCCAATCAAAAGATACAGCCAAAACCCAATGGTATGCTACCTCCAGACCCACTTCACATGCAAAGATACACAAAGACACAAAGGGATGGAGAAATATTTACCAACCAAATGGAGAGCAAAAATAAACAAATAAATAAAAAGCAGGAGTTGCAATTCTCATAGCTGATAAAATAGATTTTAAAGCAACAAAAATATAGTGGTAAAAGGATCAATGCAACAAGAGCTAACGATCCTAACACTCAGATACATAAAGACTTAGACGCAATGAGACAGAAAATTAACAAGGATATCAAGGACCCGAACTCAGTCCTTTATTAAGTAAACTTAATATATATTTATAGAGCTCTCCACTTTAAATACACAAAATATACATTCTTGTCAATACCACATCACACCTACTCATAGGTTTAAATAAAATATTGATTGGCCATTATTAATACCCATTTTTTTTAAGAATAAAGCAACATTTCTGTTCTCTCTCCCTCTTCCTCTTCCTCTTTCTTCCTCTCCTTCACTCCTTTTTTTTCTTTCCTTCTCTTAAAAAAAGAAAAAAAGAAATCAACTTGTAGACCTCTAGATCCTGGTCAGCAATATCTCTCTCATTGCTTGATTTCCTTCCTTCCCTTCTCTCCCTCCCTCCCTCCCTTCCTCCTTTCCTTCCTCCCTTCCTTCCTCCCTCCCTCCCTTCCTCCTTTCCTCCCTTCCTGCCATCCTCCCTTCCTAAAAAAAAAAAAAAAAAAAAGAAAAAGAAAACCACTAACCATAAAAAAAAAAATGCTATGGTAAGCAAAAGACAATAAATTTGGTAATTGTCTTTTGCTTACCATACCTACACGTACCGTGTTTATAAAGTCTATAGAAGTGTACAGTAATATCCTCGGCCTCTGCATTCAATCACCACTCACTCACTGACTAACCCAGAGCAACTTCTAGTCCTGCAAGCTTCATTCATTGTAGGTGCCCTATATATGTATACTATTTTTTTATCTTTTACATTGTATTTTTATTATACCTTTTCTGTTTAGATATACAAATAAGTACCATTGTGCACAATGGCTTACAGTATTCAGTATGGTAACATGCTGTGCAGGTTTGTAGCTGAGCATACCATAGAGTCTAGGTGTGTAGTAGAATACAAAATCTAGATTTGTGAAAGTACGATGTTTGTAGTCATAATGAAATCGCCTAACAAGACATTTCTCCAAAGGTATCCCTGTCATTAGGAAATGCATGACTCTGTGTGTGTGTGTGTGTGTGTGTGTGTGTGTGTGTGTATTTTTTCCTTTTATTCATCATGTAAAAGCACCTTTGGAAAAACCCACATTTCAGTCTGGATTTTTTGCATCTCCTTCAAATGTGACCGATTTTAATGAATGGTCTTCACCTTGGATACTCACATTCCAGGGCTCTTAGGAACAACAATGTTTGGGCATGTGCAGTGGAGGTGGAAGATAGATTCAAGATGTTTCATGTATGCAAAATCACATGCAGTTGTACCAACAGTATATCCAGTCAAAGACAGTTAAGAAAGGAATATATATACAGACATCTAAGAATGGAAGAATGCAAATACAATCCAACTTGTAATTAACATACCGTGCTGTGACACCTGTTGCCTTCCATGATAAGAAGTCAGGGAGATCAAAGAAATGTCCCGCCTTATCCCAGCAAGTCTCTCTCAAGTTCTGCCAAATTAAATATATATTAGAATCAATTATGGGGTTTGTCTACCCCTCTCCTCTTTCAATAATGTTTCAAATTTTTCAAAACAAAAGCATAGCCAACAATTCCCATTAAAACATCTGTTCAGGGGTTTGGTCGGGGGAGGAATGATATAAAAGCGGTATTTACACAAGAAAGGAAAGCTGACAATTCTTGATCCTTCCAAAAATGACCATAATTTCCCTTAAAACCCTCTTCACCAACCTGGAGAGATAGAAATTCTGTATTAATCCATTTTCACACTGCTGATAAAGACATACCCAAGACTGGGTAATTTAAAAAGAAAAGAGGTTTAATTGACTTATAGTTCCACGTGGCTGGGAAGGCCTCACTATCATGGCAGCAGCCAAGAGAGAGAAATGAGAGTCAAGCGAAAGGGGAAAGCTCTTATAAAACCTTCAGATCTCATGAGACTTATTCACTACCACGAGAACAGTATGGGGGAAACCACCCACATGATTCAAATATCTCTCACAGGGTCCTTCCTGCAACATGAGGGAATTATGGGAACTACAATTCAAGATTAAATTTGGGTGGGGACATAGCCAAGCCATATCAAAAGTATACTCTGTAAGGTAAGCAATCCATCTTTCCAGTGAATGGTGAGATTATATACTTTTAAGACATATAACAAGATTTCAACATTGAGCAGATATAAGCTGGATAGAAGCTGTACTCAGAAATTGCCCAATGAAACTAAATGCGCCCTGCCATATAAAATTCTCCATATGCCAACTGGTTCCAAAGTCAATAGGAAAAAAGATGGTCCCTTCCCTCAAAGAACTTCCAGTCTAAGTCAAAGAGAATGGCCACATAATCAAGCCACTGTACATTTTAAAGACTTGGTTCTCTATATTACCAAATGGCCAGATTTTTTTCTTACTGCTGGGCATTTTCATTCCTTTGCTGCTTCTGCATAAAACATTCATTCCTCACCCAACACCCTGTGCCCTCCCAGGTTCCACATCATCCGCCTTCCTCATTTGGTGAACCCTACCCACCACCATTCCTTGGGGAGGGTTTCCAGGATCTCCTGCTCAAGTTTAGGTCTAGTTGTCATACAACCCCTACTACCCCCACAATTATTTGTGTAATGTTGATAATGTTTGGCTGTGTCCCCATCAAATCTTATCTTAAATTGTAGTTCCCATAATCCCCATGTGTCATAGGAGAGAACCTATAGGAAGAACTCAATTATGGGGGTGGTTTCCTCCATGCTGTTCTCATGATAGTGAGTAAGTTCTCACAAGATCTGATGGTTTTATAAGGGGCTTCCCCCACCTTCACTCTGCACTTCTCTCTCCTGCCACCAAATGAAGGATGCATTTGCTTCTCCTTCTGCCATGATTGTAAGTTTCCTGAGGCCTCCCCAGCCTTGCTTAACTGTGAGTCAATAAAACCTCTTTCCTTTATAAATTACCCAGTCTCTGGTATGTTTTTATTAGCCGCATGCGATCACACTAATACAAATGTCTTTCTTTACTGACAGACTGACTATAAGCTCTGTGAGGTCAAGGATCTTATCACTCATGTTCACCATGATATTGGATGATTGTCTCCCCTCCTTCACCCCAGCTGAGAGGACCCTCAGCTGCCAGGTAGAAACTATGTAAGTCTCATCCCCTTACTACAAGCACTTGGTTGGACCAGGTTTAGACTTGTGACCTAGATGTGCCAACCAGATTTCTTCTCCTAAGAACTTAGAATCAGGACCCAAATGGAACCCTTTCACTTCTGCCTGTGAATGGAACTGGAGGTAAGATAAACTTGGAAAGCATGAAATGGCCATTTTCTGCCAAGCACCTGAAGACGTAGAATTTCAAAAACAAAATAGTAAAGAAGACAGAAACACTAGCAAGAAAGGTTTCCTACCATCCAGACAAATTTCTGTGTCCTGGTTTCTATTACTCCCTCTCCAAAAAGCTGTAAGTAAAATGAATTATAAGTATAGGAGTATCTCTGGGAACCTAAGGGCAACAATGCAGAAGTTCCAAAAGAGGCATATTTCAGTACCCGCTACAGGGTGACACAAAGTAGGCACTCAATAAATATTTGTTGAATTACTAAACAAACTGCTCAGCTTCACCTTCCAATTCCTCTTATGTGAAGAGTGCTTCAGTTTATAAAGGGCTTCCACATGTATTATCTCCTTAGAGCAACACAAAAGTTCTGGCTGTTATTATATCTATTTTGTAAACAACTGGCCTTTATAGGAATTCTGTGAGTTCTTCCTACATAGTGCTTCCCTAACTCTACTACATAAACACCAACATCTATTTACAGCAGATAAACAGTACTATCCCAAGTGCTAGCCCTACCAAAACAATATCAAGAGTTCAGATGTAAAAGGCAAAGTATAATGCCAATTCTCTGTTATTGTTGTTGTTTTAACTTTCTAAACATCTAGGTGAAAGCTTATATCTAGAAAGTGACCTGTTCTAAACTTCTCTTTGAATGCCCATACTAAGATGATAATGTTAAACAAAGCAAAACTTAAAGATACTAAATATTCCTAACACAGCTATGAACTAGTAGTATCTCTGAGTATCTCTATATACTAGCTAACAAGCCACAATCAGAAAATGGTCACCTTTGAAACTCTGTGAGTCAAACTACCAGAATGCCTTTTGGATAGTCCCTGAAATCTATTTCCATAATGTCTTGTGGTTTCAGCAATCAGTAGTCAGGGAGAGGAGAAAAGGCAGCCTCTTTCTAAAGGTTCCAGAAATCAAAGGCCAATGACCAGATATGAAACGCCAGATCACCGCTGCAACAACCAGTGCTTCAAGCGGAAGCACAACAATCTTCTTAAACTCAGGGAAAAATAATTACTTCTTTTAGATCTTGTGTGCGGTCATTAAAGACATTACATAACAACAGCTTTTAGCCTGTAGTCACACAGACAGCCACGGTGGGACAAGGGAACCCAAGCAGAATGTCACAAAGAACTTCAAGCCTTTTGCCAAAAAGAGGCACTGAGAATAGGAGGAGCAAGGAGTCTAGGCATTCTTTCTTTCTGAGACCACACTAACATTCACCGATCAAAGGCAGATTCCCCCAGCTCCTCTCTAAGGAGATAACACATGCGGAAGCCCTTTATAAGCTCTGAAGCACCCTTCACAAGAGGAATTTGAAGGTGAAGGTGAGCTGTCTAGTAAGTCAACAAATATTTATGGGATGAGGAACTAGAAATAACATGTTGTGGGAAGTATGAGGTACTCTTAAGGGTGCACATGGTCTCAAAGGGAAGCTAGCAGTATCCCCTGCTTTCTCTATAAAAGGGAAGACTGGAGATACGCCAGCAAAGAGAAGTAAAGTAAGGGTTTGGATGACAGGAAATGTTTCCAGAAGCATGGTGGCATGATCTCGGAACTCTGCAGCCTCTACCTCTTGGGTTCAAGTGATTCTCCTGCCTCAGCCTCCCAAGTAGCTGGGAGGAATGCACCACCATGCCCGGCTAATTTTTTTGTATTTTTAGTAAAGACAGGGGTTTCACTATGTTGGTCAGGCTGGTCTCAAACTCCTGACCTCATGATTCGCCCACCTTGGCCTCCCAAAGTGCTGGGATTACAGGCTGAGCCACCATGCCCAGCCCCATGCAGATTTTTATATTAGGCTACCTTATTCAAAGTGCTTTGTCATCAAATGCCATATTGGTCAAGAGCACATTACCCTCATAGATGAATTTTTAGTCTACTTCGGCAGGAAAATCTCTCTGTCCCTCCTCTCTCCAGTCCACACAATCCCATCCAAAGGCCTCTATCTTACTGAATTAATTCTATACTTGTAACCACTGGGCCTACATTAGGACATAGTGATTATCCTCTAAATCCTCCACAGTTTACAACAGTGTCCTCATTTAATCTTCAGATGGTTCACAAGTGTGTAGGTAATATACAATACTCGCATACTAAGGAACTGGGGGTCAGACCACAAGGGCTTAGCCCAAAGTCACAGGGTTTCCCTCTCTAAAGTAAGTGATCTTTCCTTTCACAATGCCACAGTTACCAACCTGACCCTCCCAGTCCAATCAGAGGTGTGGGTTTGGGCCTTCTGGAAATGTCATAATGGAAGCTATTGCCACTCTTTACAGTAGAAAAGACAAACAAAAGCCCTTCTAGGCACATTTCTGTACAATTTCAATCCTGTACAACTAGTGTAACTTCTACATACTTATCATTTCCCATGCACAAACGTTGTATGGATTAGAGAGTGCAAGGAGCAGGCCCTCAACACACACCAATTTCAGAAGTATCTCATTAGGTGATGGCCTAATAGAGTACAAACTAGGAGCTCTCTGTGCTGAATGAGTTAAGCCTTTCTATCCTCCAGTTACCAGGCAACTAACAAAAACTAGTCTTTTCAAGAAAAAAAGAAATCGGCAGTGATTTGGGGTATACGACTTGGCACAAAAGACTTCTGCATTCCAACAACAATCCTTTGAGCTAAGCAATCCCTCAGCTTAAAGCAACCAAAGAGAACAGCTTTTGTAAAAAAAGAAAAAATCATCTATTACTTCATCAAACCACAGCATTTCTTAGGAGGAGGCTACTACTCACAGCTCACACAGCTGCGGGTCTAAGCAAAGGGTGGAGGTAGGGCAGTATGTCCAAGATTCAAGGCTGCAGCCGCTCTGCCAGCCTCAGGACAGAGAGGAGTAGCTTTCACCCTTTCTCTCCCACTCAAGGGAAGCTGTGAAGTTTCTGCTGCTTCTTGACACCGAGGGAACTTGTGAGGGAAATGAGGCAGCCTCTGCAATGACACTAGGGTTGAGGGGCAACATGAGAAGTTAGGCATGACCAGTTAAAAAGGATTATCCAAGTAATTTACTATTTAATTGTTAAGGGATCCTATCTGGGCTATCTGCTGTGAGCAGTAAATAAAAGGGGGGGAACAGAGCTCCCTAATTCCCCACTCAATAAATAGTCTTGCCTGCACATTCCAAGTACTCACGCTGTTGTTT